AGAATATAAATATTATATTAAAAATATATTTTAACAATAAAAATACATGTAATTGTAACATGGCTTTAAAAAGTCAATGACTGTATTCCTTTGACCAGTTCAAAAGCACATGTGCTGCTGTTATCTACCCTACATATTTCAAAGAAAAATATGCTAATATATAGTTTTATTGATTTGCTAGTAAAATTTTATAATGGATACACTCATCTTCTGTCATGGTAGGTGGTGGGTGACATAAAAAGCACATTGACAGCAGAAAGTTTTTATATAAATTGCATGTGCATTCTTATTTCTCACTTGCTTATCAAAGGAACAAATATATTCATTGTAAGAAAAGACTCATTTACAAGACGAAGTGAAGCCTGCTCTAGCTCCATGCCAATATAAACAATTTGCAACTGATTACATCCATCAAGTTTAGTATAAACCATAGTAATCTGAAAAGAGTAATCAGATGGAACAAGATTTAATAACATACAAACCAAAGTTAATGTTTCTCTGATTGTTTCCATTAACTGCATAGCTATCCCAATTATTATTTTTATATATACATTATGTAACTTAATAATAGAAAAGTTACAAATACACAATACACAGTACATTAAATAGAGAACTGTATTGACCAAAAGGTTATACATTATTGCTGATTTTTGGAACTTCTTTTTCTTTTTTTAAAACATAGTCAACCATATATCAATTATAAATAACACTTCATGTATTTAAATTTTCATTATCCTGTCAGTATGGTCCCTCTGCAATCTAGGTGCATTTAAAAATAAATAAATAAAATTATATTTTTTTGAAACACCCCTTTACCACTAGCACTTTTAAGATTACAGAAAAGCACATAATTCAACAACTTCCTTGAGAACAAATCTTATCTTTCTTCATATAAAATCAAAAGGCCAGATGACAGTGAGCAGAGTAGTAGGAATGGCAAGGAAAAACTTCCATGTAAATGCAAAACCAATCTCTGGTAATCTTCCAAATGGGTAATACCTAATACCTATTTTGGTCATAAACCTGGAGTAGTGACAGTTTATTTCCCTTTTATTTATCCAGTTATTGCAGCATGTATAAACCAGTAAGAAAAATTATATTTTGTATACAACTAAACAACTCAAAATCAGAAGACACAAAGTTGATTCATAAAATTATGCTTTCATCCTGTCAAATTTAAAAGTACACTTTCTTGCAAAAACTCCTTTGAGAATTCAAGCATGTGAAGAAGAGGCCATATATATATAGTGTGATAAGATTTTTTTTTTAATCTCTTCCTAAAGTGAGTATAACATATTATGGACAAATAAAAAAACAATAAAAATTGGCATGGGATGGGTAGTTTGAAGAAGACAATTTTTCTGATTTACACGTTCACTGAACAAACTAGATGCATGGCAAACTGACATTTTTAAACTGGAAAATGTTATGGAAAAATAATGAAGCAACAGAAATAAACATGAATTTTTCATTGCTGAGTTTTTTGTAATTGGCTGATTTAACTTAAGGGCAATTTTAAGACCAAAGCAGAGAACTATTGTATTAGAATATAAAGATTCCGCCACTTGCAGACAATAGGGTTTTTCTTATTAATATCTGAAGAGTTGACACTGACCCTGAAGCTCTCATTGTTAGTAGGATGCTGTTAGTAGTAGCAGTTGCAAACATATGGGTTTGCCAGTAACAACTCACAATTTGTGCATAGTTGAGTCTTCGAAACTGAGCAAATTTGCTCTCAAAATCTCGCCAGCGCTTGCTGAGCTGTATCAGGGTTGGCTCCACTGCTTTTGCAGCCCCATCCTTAGACAAGCGTTCAGCCTGCCTGTGCACCGCATTCAGATCTTCCTTCTTCTTCTCCAATTCTCCATCAATCTCCTAGTGAGCAAAACCAATACAGGGCCCAGGACAGTTAGCTAACTAGATCAATCAACTTAAAAGTAGCAAAATACTTCTGTCAGAAATTCCATTTCCATTTTATTGTTACAATTAAAATTTACAGCTATTTTATGTCTTATTTTACATTTAAACAAAACAAAAATAACTGAAGTTGAAGAACCTTCTTGGAGATCGGCTGTAGAGATACTAACAACTAGTACACACTGGAAACTAGTTAGCGAAGGCCAACAGTTTCCACTTCCAGATTCTTGCTAGTACACTGTGATGGGCAATTGGAGATATTCTTTTCTCAATAAGGGCCAGCATATTCAGGACAAATAGTTTTTGGACAGCTTGCAAATATATTGACTTTAATATATTACTTAACTCCTATTTTACTCTGTGGGAAACTCAACAGAGAATGAAGCAAAGAAAGACGATGCAAAATAAACTAGGAAAACCTTTGACATTATGTAAATAAATCTATAGAGTTTGACAGTGACATATGAATATGTTCTGATGAAAATGAATGTGCTAACATGAGATAGAGGTCATCCATATATCGGTAAGTCATTTGTTCATCTGGAACAAAGATACATAAAATCAATTACCATTTTTACTAGAAAACATTTGATGTTTCTTAATACATTGCACACTTTCCATATTATCGACAAAAAATTTTATTTAGTATGTTTCAAATTATTTATGTAACATTCTGTATAACAAACAAATAAAAGATATAGTACAACAAAGAAATGTCAGTTTGAACACAGATAATTATGGTTTGTTTTGCTATAAATAGAAATAAAGAACTGAACTGATAATTTTCTGTACCTATTTGAAAATCTGTTGCATTTGCTGTTTGTTAATTTGATAAATTATTACTCAAAAAGATCTACCATTGCCATCCCAAAACAACATTACCTTTAGCTTCTGCTCATCTTTGTGGTCTGGTAGACTGGCTAACTTTTTCTCAATGTCATCCAGCCATGTCATTAGGTCATCAGCCTGCCTCTTGTACTGATACCATTGATGAGAAATCTCTAAAGCCTTTTTTCTTCTTTGAGATCTCAAGTCCTGTTCACAGTGCAGACATTATTAGAATATGAATTAAAGGCTTATAAAATATGAATTGACATGTGTGCACACTGAAGGGAAAAAAGTGCACAAGGCCACTATTTGTTTTAATTAAATGCTGATATTTAAACCAAGTATATAAGTATCTGAACGCAGCATATTTTCTTCAATTTAACAGATTATTTTTTCTTTTAAAGGAGGCTACCTAATTCAGGGTTGTTCACATGTTGAATAAACCACTGAGACAGTCACCAATATTCAGAGAAGTTAAGACTCTTACATGAATGTCAATATTTTATATAAAACACTTCCGCTCAGAATACTTACTGGACTGATGGAAACACAGCCCACTTAGTATCTAGCCATAAGTGAGCTTCCTGTGTTTTGTGGTCTCCTGTGAAATTCTAGCCTGCATGCAAACTCTGTAGTTATTCAAAAGAAAATCATTTCAATGCAGAAATGTATGCAAAGACAGGTTTTCTTTTTCTAAATTAAATACCATTTACATAACAAATTACTTATGTTTGTGACTCAGCTTTATAAAAGTATTAAAACTTCTCTTTAACAGGAAGTTAAAAAATGTTATTTTATTTCATGTAAATATTATTAAATATACTCTGCATTTGCTTTAACTGTTTAACTTCACTCACACAGAATTAAGAAATATTTTCACTATTATAACTTCATATTAAGAAGTAAATTAAAAAATTACTGGTACATTTTATATAAAAATACTCGGATGAATTTACCTCAATCATTCTTGAATTTTATTTGACAAGGTTGAATGCCTTAACTAAGTCACCCAAAGGAAAAATCAATCACTCTATTCCATAAAAACAGCCAGTAGGATCTGGTCAATAGCATAGTTCTAGAAACACTTTTCTTGTTTCTCCTCCATAAAAATTACAAATTACTTCCATTTAACTCAGAACAGTCAAAGACACACCAAATAGATTTCAAGTTTCTTTTAAATGTGGACAAAATAATGGTATATGCCAGCTATTCTTTTACTGAATTCACACATCTGCAAAACTGTAAAAATTAGAATGAAAACCACAGGAGAGGAAAGATGCTGCTTAAAAATAAGTAATAATAAAATGTAACCATGCCATGTTCCCCAAGCCAAGAACAACTTCGTGAAAATTTTCAAAAGAAAGAAAAATCCTGTTTGCCAATAAGATGAAAAATTCTTCTGTACTAGCCAGAGCCTACAGCTCGAGGTAGGTGACCAAGGTGACTTTCCAACTGTAAGATTTTTTCCTTCCTTACTTTTATTTTCCCCTGGAAAGACAACACTCCCAATTATGACTATTAGCTTGTCCAAATAGGTCTCACTGTGGATGTTTCTAGGAACAGTATCATACAGTTATACCTCCAGGAGTGAGGTAACACAGAATTTTGATACGTGACTGGTTTTCAGTCTCTTAGCTGCTAGGTCTATTGGTACTACCACGTACCCTATTTTAAAGAGGCTGAAGCCACTTTTCCCACTAAAAGAGCATAGCATGTAAATCTTTTACTAAAGGATCAAACAACTTACTCATTGCGAGAAATATGTTCTACAACTGAAAATATACGTTTGTGAGAACTGATTCTAACTAAGGTCTTGACTGCTGTTGGAGAAACGTAAAACACGCAAAACGTGTTAAAAAAAGGAATGATTATCAAAGAAAGCATTGTAGTCCAACTGGCAATCACACGGTTGTAACACTGAGGACAAAAGAGTATTTGTTAAGCTGGAGATTTAAAGTGTCCTTTCCAAGGCATCAAGAGAAGTATATAAGAAAATATATGTTTATAGCCAAATAGTTTTAAATTACTTATCTCTAAATAGTAATGAAGACTCACTTAATTTAACAGAACAATGCCCTGAAATGAAGAAAAAATGGTTTTAGTAGCATGTGCTTATACTTGTAGCTCCTATACCTTGAGAGCATTATGTTTAGTCTGCAACAGCTGCTGTTTTATCTTTATTTCCTCCCGTTTTCTCTCATCTGTGATTCTCTTTTGAAGTGTGTCACCCCTTTGCAGCAATTCTTTCACTGTACTCTCATCGTCTTCACTCTGATTTAAAAAAATAACAAGTATAATAAGCATTTTAATCTAATTATTGCTTAAGTACTAGGAGATACAGATATACAAAAACTACGCTTCCTCTGCTAAGGTAATCACGTAACAGCTACTTGCAGTTCTATACTCAAGACCAAATAGCTTTTATTTGCTTTCTACAACACATGTAGACGCTTGAGGGGTACAAGTAAAACAGCACTTGAAAACCTATAGATGTTTGATATTAGATTTTACGCAGCATCCAAGATAACAGGATGAAAACATTAAAGGCAAAAAGATAAAATATATTTTACTTTAAAACAAAGAGAATAGAAATATCTAAAATATTCAAAATCACTGTCAGTAGTCACTGAAATTGCCAATATGCTAGGAGGCCATGTAATTCCTGACCATTTCATGCATCATCACAATGCAACACAGCTATTCCGGCAGGGAAAATGATACCACTAAGTACTTTTAACACAGAAGTTGAATATATGTCACACCTTCTGGGAGCGTATCTCTTGAATCACAGTAAACATTTTATGTAAAGAAAGGGAACAAAATATGCTCAAGTAGTGGAAACTGCCCTGTTAAACTTGATCCACTTAGAATTTACCACTGCAGTACATACTGCCTTAAATTTTAATTTTCCTGCATTAAAAAAAAAAGAAAAAAAAAAAAAAGGTCCTGTAAAGATTCCTTTCAGCATTGATATAAAATAGTTATCTTTGAAGAATTCCTTAAAAGGAAAAGAATATTGCTTGTAAAGAAATATATATTTGATCTTGCTGAGGATTTACAAAGAGAGGGTCCTAAAGATGAATCTCTATTATTGCCCAGCCGAGAAATGTCATCCCTCTGAAAATCACTCTGGAGAAAACACACCACAGTGGCAACAGTAGCAAAACACAGCAGTATTTTACTCCTTCCTTCCCCCCCATGCATAAACGGTTTTACTACTTGCAAAGAGCAAACATGACTAATAAAGCTTATCACAGCCACAAAACCTATTTACAGTAAATGGTCAAATCGGATCCGTAAAGAACTAATTGGCAAGTGGCATTTCATTCAATGATCATAGCCTAGCATTTGTTTTTAGTGAATGTCTTCTTTTACTATATTGCCCATTCAGATACAACATTCTGAGTTTTCTTGGTCTTTATACTGCCACAGAGATTTTAATATTCATTCCCTATTCTGTAATATTGCTGGTACTAGTATAGGACCTGTAGATAATATTCTTGTTTTGCTTAGTGTTTTCACAAGGGTGGAAAAATGTTTTTGTTATAAACTAACAATTAACTTATCACTAAAACTTTTAGTTAATGCTAACTTGGGACTTTTGATTTTATAATGCATTAGCACAGTAAAATTTTGTCCAAGTAATATCTAAAGATCCTAATGCAAATATGGAAGTTTCTAATTTTCACTTAGGTTTTTTCATCTCCCTGCCTACTTCACTCAGACTTCCATTTCAACTAAATTACCATATCTTTATTGAAGTCCTCCTCTTTCAGATTCACCCCCTGCTGAATTTCAACCTCCAGTGGTTCAAGCAATTTTTGTATATCGAAGTCAAATTGCTCCAATTCCTTCAAAGGAATGAAGGGCTAAAATGGGAGAAATACAAAGATTATTTATTTAAATCACATACTTAATAGTTTTATTAGAAACATAAATGAAAAGAGACACCTGTTCTACCCCCTATTGCTAAAACAATGGTAGACTTCCCATCATGTGGAAAAATATCTACATCATACAACTCAAAGTACCTGAAGATACAGGTAAAGTTAAGTATTTAACAGTACTGTAGAATGTCCATACAAGAAAACATAAGAATTCTATGGTGAGTGAAAATTAAATAAAAAAAAAAAAAGATATTCTCACATTTGTGTGTAAGAACAGGTTCAGATAAACAGTGTAACATAACGATTTGTCTGAAAAATTAAATGTTGACACTACTTGCCTAAATCTGGTTTGTCAGAAATTACTCACACAGCAACAAGCAATCCATTCAGATGAAAAACCACCTACTACTACCAATTGAGAAAAATTTCAGGATGATTTGTTTCAGTGTTTTGAAATCATTGCTCTCTCGCAAAGAATAGCAAAAATGCAGGTGAATTATACAAAACAAAAGATAGATAATCTTTGTATAAAATATTCCCCTAACAATATTTTGTAACATATTAAAAAAAAACAACAAATCTTCACTAAAAGAGCTTGTGTTTCAAAAAAGCCTCAACAAAAATGCAGGACCAAAAAACCCTCGACCAAACAAAATAGACACGATTCCTCCAAAATGAATCACAGTATAATTATGATGCTTTAGGTTAGTGTTCAGTTTTAAACTCTAAAACAAGCGCCACTTATTAACAATAATACACTGCCCTTTATCTACCTGATACCCAAGTGCCAGTGGATAGTTTAATCTACAATAGGCAATATATTTACTAAGTGCATTGCAAAGGATCAACAGAAAAAGCTTTCTTCTTTCAAAGCTTTAAATGCAAGAACAAGCCACAAATTCTTGATGATTCTTCCATAAAATTTAGATTTGAAGGTAATTAATGCTTTACGATGTTCTCTTGGAAGAGAGGAACTCTTGGACATACAACTGTCTTCTTGCTAAAGACATAAGCACATTATATTCTAATCAGTTCTCTTTCATTCTTTCCTCCAGTACAACTGGTATTTATTATAAAGCAAAAGTTTGTAATGAAGATGATAACAATCAAAGTTAATCAGCTAAAACAAGAGAGACTGGTCATCATTTATTCTCAGCTGTTCCACTGATGACCTGGGAGAATTAGGGTAAAAATGCCTTAATTGTATCTGGTTGATTGTTTTAATGACAAAGATTTTGCACACTTATGGAACACTAATGGAAATGTAATAATGTACAATATTTATAGACAATAATACTGTGTTGCAAATTTTCATCAAGAAGCTCAGAATTACACTCAGCAAGCACTTCAGCTGAGGTAGAAACAATAGCAAACTACACAGTAATTTATTCTCAAATGCTCTGAAGGAAGTCTTCAAAAGTATTTAATTCTCACTAAAAGACAAATTAACTACTAAAACTGGAAAATAAAATTACTAATCTCTAACAAATGCTGAAAACAACAACAAAAAGGAAAATGGAAGGAAAAATACTAAATTAAATTCCAACAATTGAATGAGGTTCAAAGACCACTTGAAAATGTTAAATCTCATTTTAGTACACTATGATCATTTTGTTAATTAAGGACACAACAATTACATACTACCATTTACTGACTTCACAGGTCATTTCTTATTTACTTCACTGTTGTACTGATAATAGTTAGTATTTGAAAAAATATAGCTAATTTGAAAACAGATGAGAATTGATTGAAAATAGATTATGAGAGCTTACTATCCTCTTGAATTGATTTTTTAATCTGTTACTCACCAAGTGAATAATTTTACCTAAATATGAAAAAAAAGAAACACTTAGGAAGCATAATATCACCCTGTAAGAATAATAATTTTTCAGCTGATGAAGCTGAAATCATGACCAAGGGAAGTGCAGTCACTTACATTATACAGGTAGACAAAACGAGGCACCCAGCAATTTAGTCCTTTATCCAAATACATACAGCAAGTCAGTAGAACCACCAAGAATTCAGACAAGCTTTTGACTCTCTATCTTCTGCAATACCTGTAACTATAGATATCCTTTGTGGATCATACCCTAGCTGTCCTTTCCCAAAGATCCTGGAAAAGGTCCCCTAAATTCTAATTTACTGTTAAAATTATGTGCTGTAGTTATTCCTCTCATCTTGCTAGGTACATCATGTATAAAGCTTAGTAAGGTGCTGCCATTCTAGCTCATCTTGCCTATACAACAATAAATGGGAGAACACCTGAGAGAGAAGGTTGCCAGGTGGAAGACATTTGCAGGCGGTGTTCTGAAGACACTTCATCTTGATAAGCATCTTTTCCCCCTTCTTTGAGTGAGCCCACAACATGCAATGCAAAGAGTTAACCCATGATAAACCATCTACAGGCAGTCCCATTGTTTCCTAAGACAAGCAATAATTTCACACAATTGAAATGCAGCCTATCAAAAGCTGCATCAGCCCTGTATGCTTCCAGCATTGTGGAAGTGCAAGGTAAAACTGAGACGGAAATCAGACTGCAGATAGCAGATGTTCAGAACAAAATTGTCACACAACACAGTTGTTTGGGCTTTGTGGCAAAATGTTCTCTGTCTACAGTTTGTACTTCTGTAAGAAGTAAGTGAGAAGCACTCTGGAACAGCTGAAGTACTACTGATGGCCAACGAAAAAAAAAAGATGACCTTTATTCATAGGACATACACTTTTCTGTTCCAGAAATGAAACCTAAATAAACTCAAATATCCACAAAAAACGTGCTGGTTACACAGGGTATTACACTAGCCAGCAAAAAATTTAAGATCAGGATCCATGCATTCCTATTATCCTATATACCAACATGTATGACTGCCTGCTTTAATCTGCCGAATAGCTCTCAGCAATAAAGGCAGCAAATACAATGGAGAAAATAGGTGGCTTACGCCCTCCCTCATTCCAGTTCAGAAGTCACAACTGAAAATTACCTAATCCATATTGAATTCAGATTCAGTAGTCAAATTAGTTGTACAGATGAGTAGCTGAAGTATAATTGATACAATCTGTGTATATCTATCTATCTATCTATATCTCCAACCTTGGTGAGTCACAGCCTCATAGGAAAAGACTGGGTGCATTTAATGAAAAATTAGCCCCCAAAATTGAATCTATATAAAAAAAAGGCTACTCATACTTTGAGAAGGTTAAGAATCTTACTGATTCCCAGGTGTTGCTCAATCTTTATAAGTTAATGAAATAATAATTGTTACTTTCATATAAAGTCAGCAAAGACTTCTAATTGTGAAACAGTGAAAAAAGACCTTAATGCCAAAACCCCCAAACCTTCACACTTTAAAAAGAAAAATATTCTTAGGATCTACATTTTTTCCCTTTAAAAGCTTAGTTTTTGGAGAAACTGCAGCCTGCTATGTAGCTGTAACTGCGCACCTTATAGAAATACCATTTTGTATGCATCTCCATATGGAAGCGAGTCCTCCTACCTTTCCACTCCTAATTCTTTGCGAAATAGTTGCAAATCGCTGGTTGAGCTCTGACAGTTTAGGCTCTATTATTTTCCTGCAGTGATCTCCACGGTTTGTCATCAAGTCTACTGCCTGGTCACGCACAGAGTCCACCTTTGGATGCATATCATTCAGCTCAGCCTTTAAGCGCTACAGTCCGTGAGCAAGAGACAGGGCTTGAAGTTAGTAATAAATGCAAAGAGAGAGAAAGAGAGAGAGAGAGAGAGAGTGTGCAAAGGAATAGGGAGCAAAACCACAAAGCAAATTCAGATAATTATGCATGAGTGTGTAAATCCAGTAGAAATAAATTTGATAACATTCCCACTCGTATCCTTCAAATTTATAGCAGGAAAAAACTACATGTCTGTTTTAATATCTCCTAGAGGAAATTAATGGTGAACATTATTTCTAGGCAGGTTCTTATCTGCAATAATACAATCTTCAGCATATTTCAGGATATGCTAAATTATTTTATATTCCTAAAGCTAAGAAGAGCTACTAATTCATGTATTATGGAACTGGATGTATAGTTGTTGCTTTCATTACTGTTCACACCCGTAATTGAGGCAGGGAAAGTGACCAGATGAAAACCAGTGGGAAATTTTTCTATAAATCTATCACAAGTTACAAAAAACGGAGGGCAAATGCCTTCTTCCTCTGCAATAGTAATCTTAACAGTAGGTCCCAGCATGGGCAGAGGCCAAAAAAGATAGCCAGGCATTCAGGAATCATAAACACAGTTGGGCATTAAGAATTACATTTCACTGTCTGTATGAAATGCCTTTGTGCAACACAAATAGATACACCTGTATTGATGGCAAAGATAATTGCACTTTGTACCTGGTGGTGGCAAAATTGTTCATTCAGCTACAAAAGTCTGTTGTGTAATCTTGCTGAGATCAATGAGGCATTTATTTATGCTCTGCCTTGGAATTTGTAAAGTTTTGCTTTAATAAATGTTAGTGCCAGCAAAACAATTCTGATTTTGATTTGCAACCTGTTCTTCAGATAGTAGGTACTGACCATGAAATTCCATACAAAGTAAAACTTCTGATTTCAGAAGAAAAGTAAAATCCATATAGGTAATAATTTGAAGTTGTTTAATCTTAATAAAGAAGTTATTATAAATGAGATACTTTCAAATTCACATCTATCTTGCAAGTTAATTTTTCATCAGTTGGTCAAATAATGCAATGGGCCAAATAAAACCTTCTAATCAATACACTAAACCATGATTATACAGCTAATTCACCATATAATATTCTTGTCTGTGGTGTTGGTCTGGCATCAACGCAAACAGCGTTTATAGAATTAAAACAATCATATGACAGAGATATCAAACGCAGATACCATAGATATCAGAAAAGTATCACAGAAAAAAACAGAAAAGCAATTAAAAATGAATACGGAAAAAAAGGATTTTGTTCAACCAGATGTGCTTAAGGAGTATTTTCCAGCAAGTACAGGTGTAATAAGTTGCTGTTCTACTCACCAGGAAGTCCCCAAGACTTACGATAACATATCTGGTTTTATTTCTGCGGGGATTTAACTTTCGCAATGCAGTGCAAATTTATTAAGTAATCTACAAGCTGCCAGAGGGTAGCTTTATCACAGAAAAAAGAATGTTAATCAGTTTGTGATACCTTTCAAAATATGCTAGTTTTGACACATTCCTTTTTAGAATAAAATTAATGCTTTCCAGAAAATCGCATTTTTTTACCTTAAGAATTTCCTCTTTTTGGTGGGGCTTTTGTTTATCAGATTCATCCAACAGTATTTCAGCGCGATACATCCAAGTTGTGACATTAGCTACATTCTGATCAAAAGCCTCCATGTGCTTTTGATATTCCTGTATGTGGAAAAGGTAAATACTGCATACAAAAAAAGTAATCAGAACTGAAATAATAGCCATAATTATGTCAACTGTGGCAAACATGCATACATTATGAAATTAAACTTGTTTATTTTATACAGTAACTGCTTGTTTTGTGAAGGATAGAATCTGTTGTTTGTTTGCTCTCACTTTATCTATTATGTTTCTTTAAAAAGATATTCTAGGAGAGAGAGAAGCTTCCAAAGTGACAGGCAGGAGGGTGATAGAGTCGCAGCAAGATGCAGGTGTCTGCAGCTCAGCTGGGCTGCTGAGAGGAACAGGAAGCTGACAGCCAGACCTACTGGAAGTGGAAAGAAGAGTTTCCCAAGAACCAGGTACAGAACTCATTTTGGAAAGCCTCTAAGTTGATTGAAACTAAGGTGGAAACAAGGATGCACTTGCAAAGTCACAATCAAGAATGCTTACATATAAAACTTCTATTTGCATTTCACCTAACTTCTAGGCTTTGAGACTCTGCTTTTTAAAAAGCTATGCTAGTTGATATTCTGACAAATCTTTTTTTTTTTTTCCCCTCCTTAATTTAAAAACCTTTTGTCTTTTTTGGTGAGCTCACTAGAATGAGGTCTACGCATATCCACCTCAAAACTCCAGGCAAACCATGTGTAATTTGGCATAATACTAAGTAAGTAATACTTTTTATGGCCAAGAGGAACAGCTCAAAGACATGTTGTGGTGGTTACCACTGGTACACTACTAAAATATCCATATTCTGTCTGTGTTTACAAGTTTGCCAACTGTGGCAAACGTGCATACATTATGAAATTAAACTTGTTCATTTTACACAGTAACTGTAGAATCCAAAGCAGAGAGAAAGTAGAGGAATACATAACCATACCAGTCTATAAACTCCATTATATGTTTCTTATAATCAGTTCCCCATTGAAGCTGAGCACCTACATCATATTGAATGAAATGCTTAATTTTTCCGAATAAAATAGGCACAACCAGGTGCTTGCACTTGTATACTGCATACAGCTGAAGAAGCCCTGTAGTGATGCTGTATATCCATCGCAGAAATATTCGTAAGGTAGCCACACAGACTCTAGTGGACCTCTAATACATCAAGCTCTGAAAAGTCATGATAAAGGCTAACACACCCTTGAGAACCACTTCAGTTTCTCTGGGTTGAAACTGCGTTCCCATTCTCTCAGCACCAGAAAGAGCATACAAGATTTCCCAAAGCATTCTGGCAGTCAAATGGTTAAGACTCTTCTGTGTTTAAGGGTTCAAGCTGTCATCTCTTCATAGCAGAATTAATTTTAAGAGAGAATATAGTTATGTGACTATCAGCAGTTCGAAGTAGCTGGGGCTGGGGCTCCTGAATCTGAATTAAATGATTTAGGGAATTTACTTTGGACTAAGCTTAATCTGGTGCCCTTAACTAAGTATCCTTACCAAAACAGGCACCACAAAACATGTACATCATGCAGTTCTGAAAGACCAAATCATAGTCCTTGAGCACATTAGGTGTGCACCTTGAGCTTCTGATTTAGTTGCCTCTGAAATGAACCTAGTTCTCACACAGCAAAGCTACCCTGTGGACCAAACCAACACGCAAGCGGGGACTTACTTCCCACCTGTACTACTCTTCCAAACAGAAATGCTAATGTAGCCAAAAGCAGATGAGGCTGTTGGTATCAATACCAAGAGATTCAACTTATTTAACTAGTTCTTTCACTTGATTCATATTCAAGTAGGCTAAGTGCTTGGGGAGAAACTTTATTTCATTCATAGAATCATAGAATCATAGAATCATTAAGGTTGGAAAAGACCTCTAAGATCATCAAGTCCAACCGTCAACCCAACACCACCACGCCCATTAAACCATGTCCCTAAGCACCTCATCTACACGTCTTTTAAATACCTCCAGGGATGGTGACATTCATTAGGAAAAAAATAAATAGTCCAGGAACTACTGAGGCAGACAGGAACGGGAAGCGTTAACAGTCAAGACTCCACAAATCCATCACTCTGTAAACAGTCAGATTCTTAAAATATACACAATGTACTAAACAACAATCAATCTGATTGTCTGTGTACCTATGTATTCAACAAGCGTAGTCCAGGGCACCAGGAAAAGCACTCCTATAAGGCTGAGCACCTACGACTGGGCACCAACATTTCCTCTATGTGAACAAATACATTTTCCTTACCAGTAACAGATTGAACCATTCCTCAGCACGTGAAGTTACTGCTATCCAATTACTGTTCAGGAGGCTAAGTTTATCCTCCACTAGACTTTCCTTTCCTTTCAGCACTGTCTTCAAATTCTCTCCTAAATCACTGATGCTCTTAAGATGGACCTGGCGTTTCTCAATCTCCTTCCGTGTTGCCTACATGAGCAGAATAAAAAATAAAAGTTTAGGAAATTAGAAATTCTCCACACTAAGAACATCAAATATTAAAACAGCCAGTAAGTTCATACTAGGACACACTCTCTTGCTTCCTATAGGGAGGGAAAGTGTTCTGTGAAGAGCAGTAAGTAAAAAGTAAATTGTTCCTCTTTAGCTCTGATAAAATTGTAAATGTTCTTCATATTCTCATAATCATTTTTACTAATAGTTTCATTTTAAAAAGTGTGAATTGTCTCTCATTCCAGTGTTCAAAATATAGTTTTAATATTTAAATACTAAACAAGAATTCACATTTTACTATATTTATATTGAGATGTTTAAAGTTAATTTGCACATAATAAAATGGCATAGTTATCAAATAGCACATAAAGCTTACATAATAAATGGGACAGTAATAATACATCATGATAACACCTTAAGCCTTAGAGAACTCCACTGAAAATACTCTCGTCAAATACTTTAATATTCCTTTAATATTTTTCAATGCAATCTTTTTCAGCAGAAACCATGTGCTTCTCTCCTGTTAGGTTTCCTGTTTCCTAACTGTAGAAATGCATCTTTTCATTCAATTCATTTAGGATTTCACTCTGTGAACTAAAATACTAAAATAAGCTATTATCCATAGCACCTCTAAGCTTGAATGATTGAAATACATATGCAATGCTACAGGATCAAATTTCCAGCATCTCCTCCCACTATTATCTTAGTTTATCTAAGTAGATTTAAATTCTATGTAAGGTCACATAATTTACTCATTATTCATTTCTTAATATTTGTTTCAACACACAAGAAGTATAACAAAAGGAGCAAACCCCAACATATTTAGACAACATGTAAAAAAGCAGGAATTTAATACTAAACACTGAGATGACACAATGCAGAGTATAACAATCTTGGTGAATACTAAGGGAGAGGCACAAATTCCTTACACCTAATACCACACATAACCAGTTTTATGAGAAAAAATTATCTGAGCTCCGTGGCACCTGATAGCAATGATCCAAGCATATATGATCTCTGCTTATATAATAAAGCTCCAACTAGAAATGAAGTGATACAAACTGAACACAAACAGAAGTAAGTTAGGAGAAAAGTAAGAATGACTAGTCTCCAGAGACATTGATTTCTCACAGATAACTTGAATAAACTAAAAGAAAAACCACTTCTAAACGAACCACAATCACAATACTTCCTTCTCAGGATCAACACTGTTACTACAGTAGAACTACACCTTTATCACCTCCACGCCATCAAACCTCTCATGGTCACACATCAGTATGATTTTGTTGATAACGTGTTGTTAGGGAAAGTAATAATTTCAGTTTGCAATAAAGGCAGTATAGAAATTACTTTTTGGTACAATACAATCTTAATAGTACCTCCAACTTATTTGGCATATGTTATGCTTAAAGCAGCTGCTCGCTTCCCATGCTTAACAGAATTAATGATCTGATTTTATAATGTTATTTCACAGAAAAGGTTTTACACTTGCATTTCATGTAAATATGAGAAATTTTCCACATTCTACCAATTTCTCAAGTACAGAAGATTTGCAATAGAATCAAGACATGATTAATGCAAATTATTAACTATAAACTACAGAATTACAGAATTTGAAATGTAGAGTTTCAAATTTCAACAGATTCTAGTCAGTTTAAAGGAAAAACATGCCTTCTTCTAATACAATTTTATCTGTTTCACAGCAGGTACAAAATGTCATCATAAAAAAGAATAAGACAAAGAGTATAATTTACCTCCAACTAAGGATGGAAAGTTTTGATCAGCTTTATTACCTTTTCTGAACAATTTACTTCCATTTGGAAAAGAATCTCTGAAGCACATTTACTATGGGTTGTCGTTTCCTTTGTATTTTACATGTATGAAAACTCAGATTAGTCTTGGGCTATATATATAAATATTAAGCCCAACTAGAAATGCAAACAGATGAATCAGATAATTAAATATCTGTTAAATAAAACTGCTACCCAAAAGCCAGATGTATAATTCCCAGTGTGTAAAAAAAGTGCAATAGCGCTTTGCCTGATCCCAGGAGTTGTTCCTTTCAAGGTAAAGAAATAATATAAACCAAATACTAGGTGCACCTCTGGGCAACATGAATATTAACACTCCTGTGTATTAGCAATTAAGGGACATAAATAACCAATGAGATAAGTAAACAATCACACTTCCCCCCACCTTCTTAAAAAAAAACATTGAGGCCTTCAACACAACATCAAAGTGAAAAAGCCATCTTCTGCAATACTTCAAATCTCTATTGTTCAAAGTTCTTATGTATAAAATCCTGGACCCACTGAATACAGTTTAAAAACTAGCAGGGTCCGTAAAGACAGTGGGATTCCATACTGCATTATCAGCTAGGACCTCCTCTGTATGATATAATGCATACTAGGTAAACTAACAACTTTTTTTTTCAGTTATAACACTTTTTTTTTTTATTTGACATTTCTTCATTATATTATTCAGAATACTCTCTTCAGTATTACTAGGCAGTGACAATCTACATATACTTCATCCATTGAAATATAACAGATAGCACTGGTAAATTTTCTGTACTAACAAGACAAAAGGACTGTTATTAACTTAACAACACTATATAAAACAGATTAAAAAAAAGTGTTATGGTCCCAGGATTATTTCATTAAAACTCAGGGAGTGGCTTTCAAAATCTGCTAATTTTTGAAGAGCAAGTTCCAATATTCAGTGAATTGGCCTTCACTCATCACCTTTCCCTGTACGTTCCTGGGGAATAGAAGCGCATGTTTCAAAATTAAGGGAAAAAAACCCCAACCTTCCTGGATCTAAACCCCCTTCTGGTTGCCCTAACATCAGATTGCAGTTCAGCTGTGCAGTTTATTTGAAAATATGTAAGAAAGATACAGAATTTTAACTACAAAATCAAAAGTGTTAGCTCTGTAATTTAAGAAGTATAAGAATGACATTTCAAACACCAGAAGCCTTGAAAAAACAAACCCCCAAATCCCAAACACCACCACAATGGGTACAATATGAAACATTAACAAATAAAGTGGTGAAATTCTTCCCAGGACTAGGCAATTTACACTTTTTGATTTTGTGTGTTTATCAGGATGAAACTATGTAACATAAGTAAAATACATAAACACGTTAGAAGTTGGGAAGAAGCTAACTTTGAGTGGGATTCACAGCTCGTTCTCTGACCTCACTGTACTGTGGCACACTCTTTATCTTTCAGTTTACTAACAAATACTACTGGTTTTTGTTGGTTGTTTTTTTTTTTTTTACTTAATGTTTCATAAGGGAGCGAAAATCATAACCTCCTTCACATTAGGAAATATTAACTAGGAACAAATGATGTTTGAAAACAGAAGCTACATAGGAATGGCTTTTTCTGAGGACGTGGTTGCAGAGGGTTTCCAAGCTATACTTTATAATGATAAACCTACCGTGTATCAAATTGAACTACTGATGTATTTTCAAACAAACCAGAGTTGTGACTAAATACAGAGGATAATATTTTAATTGTGCTGGTCACTGACATAGGTAGATTAAAAAAATTCAACACCGACGAATGATAGAAGAGAAGTTCTATGTGCCTCCACACTGCCTGTACACCATGGATTTCTTGGAACTAATCTTTGCAATTTGAACATCTCCAGAAGAAATGAGTTAGGTGGCTCAGCTCTCACGGGTGGGATTACAGAATTAATCAGAAGCTGGCATTATGGCCTTCTCAGTGGCTGATTATACATATTTATTTGTTTATTCACAGCACATCTTTCATTTTTATTGCATTCTGGCCACTGACTATGAATCAGTTGACACAATTTTTAGATCATTTTCTTTTACTGATTTTACTGACAGGAAATATGTTGCTAAATGTGTTAGCTAATGTAATTCTAAGTACTTCAAGTCAACTTTCTACTCACTGCTATTATACACTGTGCTAAAATATAACATTAAAGCACTGGCAGACTCATACTGCTGATGGTAGGGAGTGATACAGGACTTTTCCTGGTAATACCATCTGCCATTTCCTTTTTGAGAACATGGTTTCCTGGCTATTTAATTCTTATTGGGCCAGTTCCTGATTAAAAGACAAATAAACCCCACAATGGTTAATGTCTTCAGTGATAAATACGTTCACTAAAATCAGACTTCTAATTATAAATGGATTTCTAATATACAATGTTTAATGACTATCTTTCCACCCGCATGTCATTTTTCTTATCTATTAGAACTGAATTCAAATGGAAAGATTTGGCTTGTCTCTACTGAGTAAAAAGGCAGGATTTACAGTCTTCAGTATATTGCCCATCTCATTTCACATAACTCAGCCAAGTTTTTGTTCCATCCTTAGAAAAATTCTAGACATGAACAAATAACATACTTCCCTTCACGTCCAGATTAATGCTGTGTTTCATTAATGTAATTTCCTACTCCAGATGGACATTCCTTTTTATTTCTAGGTGTTTATATCTTGAAGACAATGTTCGCATGTATGATTTTTTTATTCTAGCCTCTATAATTATCTCTGAAACCCTCTGAGTTCCTTTCACTATTAAAAAGTCTTGAGTACTGAAAACGAATTAGAAATAAGTGCAGTAAAAAAAATAACTGCTTCCTTGTGCTGTAAAGGAAAAAGATTATGAGCTCTCTGCTTAGTTATACTGACAGCAACACACTCCCAATTTTCAGTTCATTTGCACTATTGAGTTCTCCTTTCTCCCCCTCCATTTTCCATCTTAGTCTTTCTGCAGACTTTCCTCACAACGGCAATCCGCTGGGCCTAATTCATCTCCCAGTGCATTTCATTAGATCGGTTCCCGTCTTCAGCAGCCTACTTACCCGGGAAGTCCAATGCCCAAAGCTGTGACATTAATCAGATGCTGTGAGGCCCTGGTTCTGGGGACTGAATTATTGATGTATGATTTTGTATGATGCCTTATGGAAATCTACATAGGATTATCAGTATCGTACTTATTTATGAGTCCTCACAAGAATTTTAAAGTGTCCAGGATAACATGCAGCAATTTCTGCCTCTCAGTGGGAGCAGATTCTTTAGGAAAAAGTATACTCACATCACATAATTTCTGCAAATACTTACATTTATTAGGCTAGGATCTGCCACCTATACTATCTGTTGGATTGCTCAAAATTAGAAGTCTGCTTATATTAGTGTAAATATTGGTTTACATTTCCTAAAGAGAATCTTAATAAAGGAATTCTGAAAGCCACTTGCTCAATACGTACATACTTCAACAACAGGCAGTTGCTCTCATCCAAAATTGTTTGTTTATTCTTATTTTACTGATGAACTGACTGAAGGAGAAGAGCTGAGGTATTATATGAGGTTGGACTGCAGTGAAGGCTTTGGGCAGGATTTGAAGCCAAAATACGCTTTTTAGCATTTTTTTCTGCAACCCTTTATGTATCAATTCCTTGTGAAAATTCACAATACTCAATGGAGTTCTTTAAGATTAGTAGGTGGAGTGGTTCCCCTGTTTAATATATTTTTCATGTTAATATTTCTTATTTTAATTAGCTTTTGTTACCTTTTTTGATTGTCATAAGATAAAAATATGTTGTATTCATTGTAGCAAGTGTGAGACATAAGAAGGACTTCCCACTCTGTAACTGCACTGATCATCAGACTTTAGGTTCTAATTATGCAACTTCTGAAGCATTAAGGTTCACAACTAACAATTAAATGATATTAAGGACAAATCTTTCTAATTAAACTGCTGTGAAGCTATATACATCTGGATTTACTTTCCTGAACACGCATGCAGGAACATAGAGCATACATTTCTGTTTCAGTAGAACTGTACTGTGTAGTTTAACACCACTAAAGACGATTCTTATTTTCATGACTGGGTAAATGGACTGATTAACTGGCAGGTTAGTTCGGGGGTGTTAAAACCACATGATTGTCTAATCCATCTCTTAAAACTCTGACACTTGTCCTTTATTATGAGTGTTAAGATCATGATATCAATCAAAAGTAACGAGAGGAACTGCGCAGACCTTACATTAGGAAAGGCAGAAAGTGAAAATGAGAGAATATCAAGCAGCAATGGGTTTTTCAGGGATCGAGGTTTTGATTTGAAAGTCAAAGCAGCAATAGTCAAAGCAGTAATTGTAAGATAATAATAGCAAAAGTTATCTTTATGTATTTTTGGATACTACTTTCAAAATATTGTCATTCTTAGAAACTGATCACAAAAGACTTGTAAACTTTCTTTTTCTTGTTACTTTTTTGTAAATCATCAGTGTATTTCATGGCTAAAGACATTTTATCAAGCTCAGAAACTTGAAAGGGGCAGTTAGAGACAAAAAAAACAAAAAACAAAAAACCAAACCACAAACCAAATTTTACTCCAGTGCCTTTAATCCACACAGCCTTTAAAAAACAGTAGCAAGGTTGCCTGTGTATTATTCATGACTGTTTCCATGATGCATGGTGAAACTGGTAAAATGTTTAAGGAATTCTTCATATTAAACAAAGCAGAAGTGGTAAATTTTTACACAAATAAACAATACTGTTTAAGGGGTTTTTTTGTTGTTTTGTTTTGAAATTATATAGGAACACTTACCCAAAATGCTGCTGGCTGCACATAATTATTTGAAATTTTGAAGCTTTGGATAATGATGGGCATAGTTTCCTCTAAAGCACAGATTTTAGTATATGTGTACAACGATGGCTTGGTTTGCTTATGTTTTGATTGGATTTTTATTACATATGCAGAATATAAACTATATTAGCTAGTATTGAATGATACTGCACTAAGTCTTAACATCACACAGAGATACGCAGTTTGATGTAGAACTCTTGCATTCCTCAGTGATTCCCTACGATGTTTATCTAAACTGTGGCACACAGAGTAATTTTGAGGAAAGTTTCATTTTAGGTTTTGAGTTTTAACCTAAAATAATAGTTCAAGGTGAAGTCTCATGGAAGTAAGAAGCCCCCAGAACGAAAACAAATGAGCTGCAAACCAAAAAGGGTAAGAAAACAAATATCCCACCTCCTGGCTGCTATCTGAACATGTGGAATATATAGTGTTCTGAGATCCTTAATCTTTCATTCACTGGAGCTGTTTTACTGTTTAATACTTTCTAATCATGAGTAGAATAGGACGAGAGAGAAAGGGTTCTCTATTTACATCGATCTCTATTTACATGGATACTGGATGGCTAACTTACAGTACTCTGAAAAATGAAATTCTAACTTTAATTTCATCTCAGTGAGGATTACTGCAATATCAAGGTGAATTGTGCTATTGATATATGCAGAAACAAGATGGTTTAACTTTTTTGAGCATTAATGTTAGCGTGAGATAATGCTGTAACAGTTACAAAGGTCCACTAATTAAAACACCATAATTTTTTTCTCTTTCTTTATCAAGAAAGAAATCTATCTTTCTTTAATATGCATAAACTGAGATATATAAAGGTGCAGTGTGTGTTACGTTGTTACCTTGCCCCAGGCAATTTCAGCATCCAAATTGCTAGGCATCCCCTGCACAGCTGATCTCTTTGTCAGTTCTGCATCTGTCGCTGCAAGCCATTCTGTCATAGCATTAATTTCTTTTCGTAGCTTCCGGGACAATTTCAAGCATTTCTCTAACTCTTGCTTTTTTTCTGTCACCTGCAGAAAGAAAGCATGTGTTTCTTAACTCTTCAGTCAAACAATTTTAATGATTTTTATATACCATTTTCTATATGCCACTTCTCTATAAAAGCTTAGCTTGCAATTTTACAAAACAAGTTGCACTTTTAATGTAGTTATGTCTTGCCTTAGTTCTGTAATTTTGCTGCTAGAATGCAAACACCTATAAGAAAAAACATGCATAAAGACACTTTGAATTTGAACTAGCATGACTAGTTTTGAAGTCATGCATAGCAAACTAATTTGGAACAACTGAATTAACAGGCTTTCCTTGAGACACAAAATAGATGTCAAAACCCTTCAAAGAGTATATTTTCATATAGACGGCCATATAGTGATATTGAATCCTCAAGGTTTTCTCTGCGTAGCTACGTTACATAGAAAAAAATTCTCTGCCAAAGAAACACCAACATCTTGAAACACAAAAATCACTGAACAATGTCAAACTAAGGCGGCACAGTTAACTTTAAGTTTTTAATTTCTCAGCATATTATATTGTTGTCTTTTTAATACTCTTTAAATATAGGGGGTTTGCATAGGAATTTGTAATTTTTTTCTTTTTTCAAAGCAAATTGAAAAATAAATTAAAAATCTGCAGAAATGTGTCTCATTAGTAAATCCTTTCCTTGGTTTAATAACATTTATTTGGATCACTGCAGAACAATTCATACAGTTTGCATTACATTCTTTGATGCATTCTTTACTAAGCTCTCTTGCACCCCTCCCACCTCCTTATCAAAAGTGTGTCTGCCACTTTAGTATGCACGTTGCTCCCAGCATGCAGTCAGACTCGCAATAGGAACACTTGTATTTTGGTTACGTAATGATTCTGCTTTCTTTCATACAGAGGGGGAACACCAAGGTGTCCTCAAGTGTCCTCATGTGATTCTGTTTGGCACTGACTAAAGATTAGGCATCTGTACTAAATAAATCAACAAAAGAAAGTTGCAACACACATTTTTCTAGAGAGCTTCACAAGCATTTACTAGCAGTAGGCTACATTACAGACGTTTTGAAGACAGCGCAGTTTGTAGACTGTAATCCCAAGCTTCTGTTCCACAGTCCTCCATCTTCCATCATAGTCCCCTTTCAAATTCTTCCTCCTTACCTGCAGTCTGTTTTCTCACTTCTAGTTTCCTTAGAGCATTAACCTTTGTTCACATTTCCAGAAAATCTCTCACCCACTTTAATTCCCAGGACACATCCCATGGATTCCCAGTCTCTTTGATGGGAGTCTTCACCACAGACTTATCTGCAGCACCTTTCTGCTTTCTTCCACACTTTCCAACCTTTCAGATCATCCTAAGTCTTACCCTCCACCACTAGCTTGCAATCTTCTAGATCCCTATATTCACCTCTTCACACTCACAGCTTTTCGGTTAGGTTTTTCATAGGCTGAATGTTTTGGACGTGAAGTACTGTGGACAATCTCTGTTTTTAAGTTCTTTTAAGCACATTACATGGTACCTGGAAGGAAGGCTGAGTATTTATGTTGTCTTGACTGTCTTACACTACATTTTGGTGTAACCTGGAGGAATAGGGGAAAAAATCCTCCCTGCAAGCCCCTGAGCATATTGGGGGAGAGAGAGAAGGTTCCACATACTTAGTAGAAAAGGCAGAAGAGTAAATGAAGACTTCTCAGATAGACATTAGGCAACTGGTGGTTAGAAAATACAAATTAATAAATTATGTTGTGCTGAAGTTTAAAAAAGGTCAATCAAAGAAGGTGGACTAAAAGTGTTCAGTAGGTCACTAATATTTAAAAGAAATTACTAATTACCTTGCACATCAATTAGTAATCAAGTGAGGTTGTAGACACCAATTTTTATTTAAGTATTTTTAAATAGAAGAAAATTGTCTACAGTAGTGACAGGTGTCCAAAACTGGTATGAATATCTACTAAAACTATTTTGGGCTTTGGCACTGTTTGAGTAGAAGTAGAGGTGCAATGATCAAATTCATTCCTACCTCTACTGCCAAGGAGAGTTTGAGGTTTTAAAATGTAATAGGATGTTATGAGGTTAGGTACCTGGCTTTTGCTATCCCTGAGTAAACAGATCAGATTTGCCCAGGGAACAAGCAATAATACATCCCTGATCGTATATTATCACTCTGTAGAGGCTTACTACTAAAATCTCAGAACATTTGTTCTTCACTGAATATGCTTTATGTGCTTTCTTTTATGCCAAATTTATTAAATGAAACCGCAGAACCTACAGTCAGGCCAAGAGGTAAATCCCTGGGAAGAACCATAAAACTCAGCTTTTTAGAGCTCCATTCACACATGGATCCAGGAATCCACACAAATTTTCACCTCTTCTTCTGATGAGTATTAATAGTCATTGTAAATAACTATTTGCAGGTACTTAGCAGCAACACAATGCAGAGTGCACTACCCTAAGTGTGAATGCCTGTGTAAGAATCCTAAACACCTGGTATACTATAAAATGAAGTTACTGATACATGCCCAAACACAGAAAGAATATTTGCGTTGCTATATACATCTCTAAATTCTGTATATAATATCAATAATATTACACTATTTCCATGTACATTGTATCTATCCAGAGGTTACTGATTCATTAGTTTCTGTTTGTACTTCAAATGTAAAGATGTATTTCTAAAGAAAAATAGGAAACAGTGCCCTCTAAAGGCCTTCTGTTTCATGCAGTGATACCAAACATACTATCTCCATAAATTTTCTCTATATTTTAAAGCTATTTTAGCTATGCTAAATAGTTTACTCGCAAGAATCCTTGGATGTAATAAATAAAAATAAAATGAGAAAAGCAGATATTGGAATCAAAAGAAAGGTATTTTACAGCCTTTTAGTCTTACAGCCAAAAATTCCTGTGCAGGAGTGCTATTGTGAAGAAAGACCTGACCTTGTAAGTAATAGCCCCTACTGCACGCAATGCCCTTAGGAGCGCAGCAAGAACATTATTACTGCCACTTTCTTTTAGAGACCAGCTGCCTGTTCTGATGAATTACCACACAGAGATTTGACAGAAGGATGCTACAGACCCTACCTCACAGCCACTCACAACTAACAAATTACCTAAGCTTTAATATAGTATTTGCATATGTACATGTATATGTGCTTGTGTCAGAGAGAGACAGAATAAGGGCAAGTGAATGCATAAGTAAGCACAGGCATGCAATATTTATCACAAATGCAACCACTACACCATGATATTCAAATGACATTTTGCTTTCTTGCAAATTCATTTCAAACCTATTTACACTGAGGCCACTGCTAAAGTTTCAACATTATCACCATGCTTTTAAAGCATATTTGGTGAAAAATGAGGGGCAAAACTTGATGTTCTGCACAGACAAAACTCATTCCTAGACCAAAGAGAGGTTTAAGGTCTGATACTACTTAAGCAATTAGGACTATTCACAGGTATTTATATCCATATGTGTGTGCTAAAAACAAAAGGAACAAATAAAAAAACCCCACACCTTCCCATTCTTCTTAAGGGGAAGAATTCCTAGGTTCACAGCGTCTCAAGTTATGTTACCTATCTCTGGGCTTTTGTGACTCTCTCTAAAACTGTTAACTACCATGCTATATAAAAGTAAATGTGAGAAATTACATCTAGGACAACAAAGCTAAACACAGCACTGCAGATTTTTGAGACCCATTAATTTGCAATAGGGCTCACTTCAGATCACTAATGGTTTCCTAATGGCACATTTTTATCCCTTCATTAGTTAAGAGAGGTTTCCTATAACAATGGCACCTGTCTGCTGTTACGTTAAACATAATGTAAGAATAAATGCTACAGTCCTTTCTAAAATAATGGAGAAACCAAATATGTTATCTAATCTTAAATGATAGCTTTCCACACCTTAATGAAGCAGACTGTTTAGTTTTCTTGACACTCAAAAGATTGATGTCTCTTAATGACTTTATTTTCTAGCAAGAGAGAGAACTGTTTTAATTCAGGTTCCCAAATGAGCATTCTCTCTGACAAAAGTGATGTTACTCTTATTGTTTTGTTGTACGGTAGTCAGTGGGGCTTGATTATCATTACATATTTAAACCACATACTGACTGTCAGTATTACCATGGGCTCATTTTCCTAGTTTGTAATAATTTATGGTTCTAATAATTTATAATCTGACAAAATAAAGAATTTGCATTCTGTCCTATTTCATATATTTGAAGTATATAAATTTTAGAAATAAACAGACAACTATAACTGTCATTCACAGCCTTCATTCAGCCAGTTACAGCACCAAATTTACTCTAATCCTACAGTTTTTAGAAGTTCTGTGGATAGTTTTAATAAGGGCAAGAGGAATAAAACAGAATAATGAAGGATATTTGTTAATTGAATTATTTGTACGGAGTCTTCTTTAGGACAATGCACAACTCCTCTTCAGAGCTCAAAGGTCCATGTAGAGGATTGTACTTCAGGAGCAGGCAACACACTCCATAGATAACGCAGACCCAGAATAAAAAGCCTTTAGGGATTGACACACGATTTTTTTTTTTTTTTTTCAATCACAGTCTTGCTAATATTGGTTAGTAGTCTGTCTTTCCTACTGTCTGTTTAGTTGACTTTTAGGAAAAATTGAGTAAACAAAAACATTCTCCTTTTGGGAAGTGTAACAGCATTTAACTGTATATGAATTGATAAAGAAATAGATGATGTATAGATGGAAATTTTACACAAGGAATGACAGTACCTGGGAAATGAACAGGGATTGATTCTACAAGGTTAATTATACATAAATAATTCATAAGGTAAAAGTCTGCCACATTTTGAGAACTATTTGGTTTTTTCTGTAGGTGAAGCTGAGATTATATAAAGAATATTGGGAAAGTATTCACGTAGTCCTCCTAATTATACGCTGACATTCACTAAGTGGTCAAACTGAATACTGTATAAATATCAGATTTTTTTTTTTTTTTTAAAGTTGTATTCCAAGGCAATACATTCCTCATTACAGAGCTCAAAGGATGATGGTTCACTTTTTACCAACATGAAGAAATTTGATAATCCCTATGGAATGGAGGATGACAAATGACTAAATTCTAAACAGGGGTTTGCTGGTATCTGAGATGTATAACAATGGAACAGTTATTCCACATACTCATAACTAAACAATATTCTATGTGGCTTATATATTAAGATACAGTGAAAAGGTAAGTCAGGGTTGTACATGACATGTAAACCAGGGAACGGTTATGACAATAACTGAACACATGTGTAGTTAAACTCAAAAGTGTAGAAGAAGAAAAGCAGAGTGGTACACAAATGCCTCCTGAGGAAAGCTGCAGCAGCAAGAATTTTTCCTTCAACAGATTTTTGAACAGCAACAAATGGAAATTATATACTTAAAGAGCTGTACAGTCAGAGGCAGAAGGAAATTAAAAGGTAGAATTCTCTTTTTTATGAAGTAGCTCTTCAAGTAAAATGTGAAAAAACCACAAACAAAAACTAAGTATTTTTCTGACCTGAAGTGTTTTGAAACAAGTGACTGTTTGAGGCATTAGAACAAAACAACATCCCTCTGACACCTAAAAAACAATGAACTAGTAGGAAAAAATATATTAAAACATTAAGAAAGTATAATTTTAAATTGTAATAAAGGAATTTTATATTTTTCTAGAAGGTTATTTTTTCTCAGAGCAACTGAATAGCCATTCTAATGACTGCCTTTGCTTCCATTCTTTCTGTCGCACTGTTTAAAAAATGTGAGGGCCTTGAAAGGAACCAATAAAAACCCCTGTCTACTTACCATACGAAGATTATTCTTCACTTTGCCAGTTAAAAAGAGGGCATAGTTTTGTATTAAAAACACAGAGCTTACCTTTGCACCCAATTCATTATATTGCAACTTCAAAGCTGTAAGCCTTTCATCCAGTTCTTTTGGGTTCTCTGTCTGCTGCTTTTGAACAATCTGCCTCCCAGTTTTTATCACTGTTTCTACTTCAGACTTCACCTCACTCAGGTTTTTATATAATTTCTAATCAAATAGAAATATGAAAGAGAAATACCACCATTAAAACAAGTAAAACAGAAAAGACTATTGAAGGTATTATAAAGATGCTCTAGGAATCTTTGCATTGTTTGCTGTATAAAAACACCATCATGCATGACTCTGAGCACCTTCCACTCCCATTGGAAAGCTAAAGGAGTTGAGAGGTACTATAGTATGTGAACTAAGGATAGAGAAAACTCACCCTGAGCGTGTGCGTGTATTTAAAAAAAGTTTATGAGAAAAATTGATCAGTTTCTAAATCAGAATTCAAATTAACAGATTCAGAACAGCCTATCTTTACTAATATTGGCTTCAAAGACTTGTCACCAAAACCAATGGTAGAAATGTTATAGATAAGAAAGTACACGCCATCCCTAATTGTTTTAAGATATGACAAAGGTTGTTTTCAAACCGATTTAGATAATGCAGTATTTAAAAGAACAACAGATGTCTTCTGTCAATTGATACAGCCTGTTGGATGTATTTAAACTACAAATAGCCACTAAATCCATTTAAAAATCTGACAGTTTTTCATACTACTAAATCAAGAGACTGGTAGGATAGAGGATTTCCCCTACATTTACTAAATGTAATATTTAGTATACACTTAGTAAATCAAGGAATTAAAAAAACTACATGAAAAAGTAATGTAATCAGGTTAAACCAAAATATATTATATATAATTCACTGCATTTTCCTGCACTATTTCAATGGCTAAGCAAAAAATAAGGGATAAACAGCTGTTCAGTAAGCAACGGCATGCAAGCAATCTGTAAACACAATACATTTCCCTAATATTTCAAATGAGTGATACTGAGAAAAATGAAAGTGTTCTTTCTTTCCATATGCAGAAAGTTGGTATCATCATCTAAACATACAACTTGGTAACTCAAGCCATTTAACAGCCACATAAATGCCCAACTAACATTCACATAAGTACAGCAGAAGTTGAATTTTTTTTTTTTTTTTAATCTAAGAATAAATTCTGCCATGGCATGGAAATTCTACTGAACTCCACAGTGGGAAAAGACTCCACAGAGCTACAGTGTGTCCATTATCACACAGGTACATGAAGAATGGAAAAAGTGAAGCTGTTGAGCAGCTTTATTGTTGAGATGTCTAGCTTAATTCTGTGTTCCAGCATTTTGCCATCATGTGTTGGAAAATAAACTTACTGTCCTGTATATTTTGACAGAACTGCAAAATAAATGACACTGTATTTTTTTAATCTGTAATTTTTTGAACTTTTCTTTTAGCAGCAGTATCTCCCACAATGTAAAATCTATTTCTAGTACATCTAGGCAGTAAAGACAAGACTTTTTTTCCAGCAGGTCTGACAACAAAAAAAACCCAGGTGCATTTTCTCCATAATCTAAAGTTAATTACCAAGCCAATTCTTAACATGGTTGTTATTTTATTTACTTAAAGGTAGTATGTATATAGTCCAACTGCTTTCTAGGTGCTTAATATGATAAATACATTCTTCATCACTGAAAACCTGTCAACAAATTAGGAAGCTGTTGTATGATGCACACTGGCTAACATCTGATGGGATACTATGACTAGATTTTTTAAATAGAAACATTATGAGATTCTTCGTAGATAAAGATGCTCTAAAAACACTGTAAGTCTTCCATAGAATATGACAGGGCTGCAACAGCTAGCTGCCGAGTGAAGATAGATACTTTAATTCAGTACAGGGCTTCTAATTACAGGGCCTCTTATCATTCTGATAAGAATATGAATTTAGGGGTAATTGCATTTAAGAAAAACCCGAGATGTAAAGAAGTAAGAGCGACTTGTTCCAGGCTTATTTTTGAATTTAAATTCTTACATTGAGATCTGAAAGAGTTTGAGGGGAAAAAAAAACATCTGCAGGCATGCCATTGCTCCAGAAAAAAAAAAAACAGCTGAAGACAAGGATCTGATTGTCCAGATTTTTGCTATTAAAATCCCCATTTTATTATCATCAAGCACACGGTGTTCATCTCTATCTTTACTCCCTTCAACAGTAAAGGGGTACAGGATTACAGGGATATGAAAGGGATACATACAGATCTTCCTCATATGTTTTGTGTTTCCTGGCTAGAATAGACTTGTTCACTGCACCATCTCTTTTGGTTAAATCACAGAGTTCCACGACCATAACATGTTGTGGAAAACAGCGAATCCAGGGAGATAAACTCATATGCAAGATGGGAAGGGAGAATTAGAAAGGGATCCTGACTGGCTTTCTCGCATAGTGAAAGTGCATGACCACTGTTTGAAAGTTCACTGAAATGAGAACGTTTTGATTCCCCTCCCCCCCCAATTTTATGAGTAACTGATACTTTGTTTCTCATCGTTCTGTAATTTTTAGCCTTCTCCACATAAATCCATATTTTCAAAATTTTTCAGTCATTTAATTAGCATCCCATGCTTCTGAGAGGTCTTTGCCATGACAGAAGAGAACAACATATAGAAAGGAAAAAGTTACTGTAAGACTGTTAGAACTATTTCACCGTGTTATTATATCCTGGGAAACTTTGAAATTGAATACAATTTTAAGTGTACAATGTCTTTCTAACCTCATTTGCAAACAAGAAAAGCAGGACAAGGAGGATCAAACACTTCTCTCTATCCTCCTCTCCTTGAAAAAATCGAACTTTAACTAAAAAGGTTCCTAGAACTTAAATTGCATAACTTTGCTCTAAAATCTTTCTCAGAATCTTTTCTAATATCTCCCAAAGAAATATTGTCATCGTCATTGAAAATACTTTAAATCTGAAAGGCAGAACAGGCAGGAAACAAATAGAAAGACAGCATCTTTAAATATTCACCATGCAATGATCCAACTGTGACTGTACTACTTCCTGCTCAACACTCTTCATCTCCAACCTGGGCACCTGCAATTTCACTTCATCTAAAATTCTTTTACATTCTTGTAGGCGCTGTTCAAAGTTGGCTGGCTTCTGAAACAAGCGAAACCTCATGGAGACATCCTGCAGCTTTTTCTGAAAAGTAAGCATTGGTGAGTAGTAAATGTGAAATCAAATCAACACTGAAGCCAAGTCTTAGACCCATTTCAGAATACTTAGAATCCATTATCAATCAGTAGTTTCTTTTTTAAAGAATTCAAAACTTTTTGGGAAAATACCAGCAGCAGAGAACCTTGGTCTTCACAGGAGGAAAAAAATTCTTGATTCATCCAGGGCACTGGATTCAGCAGAGCGAGTGAGCCTATATACTCAACAGAAGAAAGGGAGTGGTTTTGTAATTTCCAGCATGCAAAATGTTGGGGGGTGGGGAGCGAACAGGGGTTTAATGACTCTTAGTTCCTCAAAGAAACCCAAATAAAGTCGCTAGGCAGTAAGTAAGTCTAGCACAAAACCTGAGATTTAGATAATAAAATTGATTTCTATTTCAATTTAAAAAAGCATAACCTAGAGTAAAAAGAAAGTAATTTGAAGGCAGAAAAAGCCATGACAAGCATGGCTTCTAATTTCATAATTTTCACAATTTGTTATCTTTGTCCATTAATTATGTTGCTTGCTCACATGATCCCTACCTCAAGGGGAGGGAAAACAATTAAAAATAAAGCAAAAAAAGGGCACTTTAATTATCTACTTGAATAAGAACTAATTTCTCTTTAGAAGTACAGAGCAAAGTACTAGTAGAATAAGTTTTTCTATTGTTTGGAAAAAAAAAAAAGACTGCCACTAAGAAATGGCTAAGTAATTAAATAGGAACTTGGCATCTGCAAACACACTTTTGATTTTTTTCTCTTCAAATACTGAACACTTTATACCAATACAGTGTTGTCTGTACCACACAAACTTGAGAAAAACTATAATAAGGAATAAAATTAGCCTATACATAGCATTATTAAAAATCTACCAGATTTCTGTGAAGGAGGCAGGAATCATGAGAAGACGACAATTCTGGGTAACACAGAGAACTGTGTAGATTTCAGCAGTTCCTTCCAACAACTTTCTTCATTAAATACTCTTAGTGAAATTGAGATCCAATGGGGTAAGAAAGGAACTC